AACTTCCGAGGGATCTTTTATGTACACGCCACTGTGTGCACGGCACCTTGGTTTTTCGTCCCATCGGAAAGACTAGACAGCTGCCCTTGTCAGGTCCTTCGTCCTGCACCAGTGACACGGAGAAACCACGCCGGAAAATCTCGATGAACTTTCTCAGCTAACACCTAGAGCGAACTCGCGACCTCCAGGTTAGCGAGTCAGCGTCTTACTTATTGAATCACCGTGGCTCCCCTATGTGCTGTATCATAAAGTCTGTCATTGAGTCAACTGGCGTGGTTTAGATCCCCGGTTGTACGTGACAAAGAGTAGGGTTTTCTCCGGGTCCTCCGGTTTCCTCCCACTGCTAAAGATCCCTACGCGCAAGCAAATTATTGAAATAAAATTAAAACCATGTGTTAGTCCCGAAATCACCTAGTTTGTGTCTAGTGGACGTTAAACCCCATTTCTCTCTCTCCTAACCTACTGTTTAACCACCGTGATCCCACTGCACCCGATTGACAATATTGACTGTGATACTTAGAGAATTAAAACACCCGTATGTACGAAATAGATGAAATGAATTCGGAATTTAATAATTTAATGCATGGTATTATGTAGTGTCGAGTAATGATTATTCGTAAGTGATAGAAAATTGTTGACAAACAATCTTAGGTATGCCACATACTCAATCCTTAAAACCAAGAAGCGGAAAACCTTATAATGATTTTGTTTTGTCACGGTTGTATCCTAGCGTCAAGTGATCTATTACGCAGTATCAATTAAATTATTGAATATTAATCGACTTATTTTGAATGTTAATAATTAGAAATTTGAATAATGTTCGTATTTGTAATTGAAGATGACAACAACTAGTGTCCTGTTACAGTTATAAGCTTGGTGTGATTTTAATTAAATCATTATCTTTCTTAGATTGTATCATACCTTTAAAATCAAGTTATTGTTATTTAATTAAATCAATACCCCCTCTTAGATTGGTATTATACTATTCAACCCATGTTATTGTTATTTAATTAAATCTTAGGTTTTTTTTTATTATATTATTAAAATCAAGTTGTTGTTCTGTGTTCAGACCCCATATAGAGATTACCTACTACATGTTCCTACAGATCTAAAACTAGTCAACGGACCAATGTTTACGGCTCTGCTAAAGTGTGGAATGGGTTATCTGGTCATGTTAAAAACACAACTAATGTTGCAGTTTTTAAAATGAATCTTAACACTGAACTTTTTATACGCGCTTTAAACCCATGAACATGTTGGAATCATAACGTTATATGTATTTTTATTGTAAAGAGTGCCCTGGATAATTGATCGTATTGGAGTGCTGGGTGGGGGGTATAGGTGGCTTATTTGTTACCTGTATGACGATCAGAACGAGTTGCGACATTTATCCCCAAGATAATCAGAAACTGTCCTTATCAGATCTTTTGCATATACACGTATTTTAATATTTGTGTCGTGTGCTTAAAGCGACGCCATCTTGTTTCATAAACAAGTAAGTACTATGGACTATGTGTATGACCTCATCACAGTCATGCTGGAATCCATGTCTGTCCTGTCAATCGATGCCCATTTGTCCAAGGAAACAATATTTCGGTTATCCCCCAAAACATAAGACAACCATAACTTAGACACCGTAAGCAGAAGCACTGGTAAATGCATCACTGTTCTCGACTATTGTTAAAATATGTCTTAGTTTCATGCCGATCGTATATGAATTGACAGAACCTTGACCTTTTTTCGAGAGCATCGCTACAACAAGAACAGCAACTAAAGCTACAACAAGAAGTACAACTAAAGCTATAACTAAGATACAACAAGAATTACAACTAAAGCTACAATTAAAGCTACAACAAGAATTACAACTAAAGCTACAACTAAAGCTACAACAAGTGCCAACAACAACAAGAAAATAAAAGCTCTTCTGTGAGCGGCATTTAGCTATAACGAAAGCTACAACAAGAACGACAAGAAGGCAACAAGAACAACAACAACAAAAGCTACAACAACAACAACAACAACAGCCAGAGGCGTAGCCGTGAAATATATATTGGGGTCGGGGGGCCGCAAATGAAATTATATAAAATGTTGACAATCTGTGACGCCCTAGGCACGAGGCTGTGCAGCAGCCGACGTAGCTCGATAGGGAGAGTGTGGGAGGGTCACCCTCCCAATTGGGTGGGGGCCCCTTAAAATTTTTTTAAAGTTTCAGTCTTCTGTAAACACTGTTTTGGCATATTTTACGGGGTTATACTAAAACATCACACCAATACAATGTTTATCATGTTTAAGTCAGGGGGTGCCGTATTCATATTATTTTCATGACTTTTATATATTGAATGTTACGCTTGAGTTATGAACAACACGACAAAGAGAGTTTAGTAGGGGAATTTTTATGAGGAGGATTCAAATGAAACAAAACTTGATCACATAACTTTAGTTTATGAGGATGCATATTTGACAATCAACTTGTTAACTACAATACTATATATATATACACATTGAAATTTACAAGAAAGTTGTATAGATATTTAAAGTATTTTGTACATTATGTGTATTATAAATGGATTTCAAAAAGTAAACATAAGTGTTTGTGTTTTAATTTGTACATTGTTTTATACAGATAGAATCTTAACTAATCCTAATAATTGTTGTAAATCAATAGGAGTTAGGGCCTAGTATGTATTTTTTTTTTTTATTTTTTTTTTTTTTGGGGGGGGGGGGGTCCATGACAACAGCACTCCTAGAAACATTTGTTTTGTTCTCTCAGTTATCGCCAGTCAGTCTTTTTCACAGAGGTATCGCGAAAGTCTTCTTATAAGATGACTGCTTTCTACATGTGACGTCACATCACGAGGCGTCGACCCTTGAATCAGTAGCGCTGCATTGTTTATATAGGACATTTTAGCGTAAAATTGGTCCAGGCAGAATGGTGTCTTTTACTCATTTTATATACAATTTTACACCAAATAGAAAATATTTATTACCTAAAAATACTTAAAACATCTTTATTTTTCTAATACTTCAAAAAAAAAAAAAAATATATGTTCTAAATTTAATTTGTATAAGGAAACTAGTTAATATTCCTAGCTCATTAACCCACACCTATGTCATCAGTGATATTAGTGGCCTAGTGAATATTCACTGCTGAACAGTAGGATTGCTAGTAAATGAAAGATTTCTTGGAAAGGTGAATTTTAGAAATTTCAATAAACGTAGTCCAAAGTTTATTTCATGGTTAATTTCCATTGCATTTAAACAACAAGTTGGACGGTTGCCAATATTTATGTTTATAATTTTAAAGATGATAAACTGCTGTGTTTTTATGAAAGAGATATTGTATGTTTAAAGATGTCATCATAACACAGATATAATCAAGTGAGATGTGCAGACTTTCTCTACAGGGTATCCCCACTCACTGTATGACATGAATTGTTGTCAAATATATACATCAATATAAGTTGTACCTGGTAATAACAATGAAGTATATCACCACTATAAACCATAACCAACATTTATATCAATTAGCTACATGTAGTGTAGGCCATCGAAAGTATAAAAAAACGAAACGTAAGATAGATCTGTATTTGAATTAGATTGACTACAGGATGACGATGAAAACCCTGGAATTGGACAGGCATATGAGATATGTACACCTACCACAGACACCGCACCACCCCCATCTTGCTCATATTATATGGTTCGTTACATATATGGCCTATATGGTATGTGTCTACAACCATCAAATAGGATATAAATAATAAGTATGAATTCAACTGACCCAAGTGCTTTGTTTACTAGAAGTTAACCCACATTTCATTCTGTTATCAGTGATGCGCCACATTGAGTTAAATAGTCATGTAGATCAATGATAAATTTTTATTAAAGATACATTATATACTCTTCAAAAAAAGTAGGGGACATTCAGAAACAATACAAAACTGCGGAAATGCACTGCTGTTTTTATTACAGGTAACCAGTGTATGTTAATAACAGGCCAATTTACTACACATGAACGTAAACATATCATATGGGCGGCTTAACTGACGGCCCCATTTCACTCGCAAGGAGATACACCGTCAAAAGTGAAAATGGACGTTTTTGATTTTTGTCTTAATAATGAGTAATTGTTCCACCAATCCTCGGACATTCAGCAATTCGTCGTGGCATGCTCCTAATCAACCGTCCAATCACGATTTGGGGCAATCTGACCCACTCCTCTTGCAGTGCTACATCCTTCGATAAAATTAAGCGTAACACACCAAAGCAAAGATACGCTAAACAGCAAATCTTATGCAAGAACCGACAAGAAGCAAACATGGATAGATAAACCAGCAAGCGGCAGTTTTCATCAACCCTTCCTTGAAGTGTCAAATTTGACAATGATCCCCTCCCACGTGTATGGCGCTATTGAGTGTCACATGTGCAGCTCAGTGGTTCAGTTGGGGCGATAAGTTCTTCATCTGTGAAACATACTCTCAAAGCATGTCATATGTCCATGACTATTTATCATATCGCAACCTGCATAGGTATTTTCATTTCAATATCCACTACTTTATTTGAAGAGTATATAAAATTAGATACATGGCTGGTCGTTCTTGCTATAACAGTTCAAAAATAGATCAAAATAAAAGAATATATTAAAATAACTGTTTGGAGTTTTGACCATATACGTGGTATTGATTTTTCATTATCATAACAATGCTACTTGTTATTCGAGACTTAGCCTCGATTCTCCATATCTAAATTAAATGGCCATCTGATAACCTAGAGAGTTGATTGTAGGTTGGGCGTGTTATTAAATATTTAAATAACATTTGAAACCAACATAAAGACCTGCAATGAGCAGATTTAGCTTATATATAATATATCTTTAATATGAAGCAAGCCCCGCCCAGTTTATCACTAATGCTGGTTTTCCCCAAGCTACTTTACAACTTCCCGTAGCGTTTATCAATCAGCCCAGACAGCGTGTATTTACATTAGTGTGCATCATATAGTACAACACACAGCCAGGGTTGCTATTCGCCAACATATTATCTGTTTGGTCAGGTGACACGTGGGGATATTATTATATTAATTGGATCTATTACATGATTGAATTAGTCGAGTCTCAAACTTCTAGACATTGAACAACCAAGTGTGTGTCAAACTTTTAGACATAGAACGACCAAATGTGTGTTAATATTGTATAGTTCCAGGTTTAATATTTGGACGGATTACTTCTGACTTTGGGTCATCCTTAGAAACCAGGGTTTGTTTGTTTCCAGATAACTTTTCTATAGTTTTTGGTGTTTTTGTTGGACTTCTAGTTTAATAGTATATAAGGTTTGTCGCTGGACATTGTGTTACTTCCATTGAGGATTCTTTTTTAAAAAAAACAAGCGATCTTGAAGAAACAGTGAATTGCTGGGACAGACTGACTTCTGATAACTCGATGGACATGGTGTATCATGAACGTTAACGAGACGGCTCTGCCTCAAAAGAACTCAACTGTTTGACCAGAATATAATTTTTGTTCCATATATGTCGTCTAAAGGAAATCAACTTTTCCAATTTTTAAAATGTTTCCAAACTTAATTCTTAGATTTGAGGTATTTTGATCACACTATTTGAATCAAGAAAGAATATCCTGTCATAGTATCAGACCCTATCCGTGTTTAATTATGATGGAACTGATTTCTAACGCCACGTATCATACGGATCCGGACAGTAACAACAACTCCTACCATGTCGAGTTTGGTTTTCGTAAATGGCAAAAAGGGTACACCACTAAAGCCTTTAAAGGTATACTGAAAGGTTCGGGGGAACGCCGAGAGAGTAAAATACTGGTGAAGGCTTTCCGCGACAAACCAGGGAGTTCCACGAGATGTGAAAATGAACTCAAAAAACACCTGAAAGGGCAGGAATTAATGCAGGCCTTCAACGAAAAGTTTCCCGAAGCGTTGAAAATGTCCGTGACATGGGCTACCAAGTCGTCAATAGAAAATGCTGCTCTTTTTCACAGCGGTCGAAGATTGAAAGAAAACGAACACGTTATCGTTGAAGAAGTCATCAGGGAGAAATTTAAATATTTCGTGGATCCCCATTTCAGACGGCTTCAAAAAACACCAAAAGATTTACAGACTTTAATGCATTTTAGTTACGACTTCACCGGTGGTCAGATGGTGCTGTCGGGGCTGAAAGGTGCCAGGACTTCTGATGGTTTCAAGTTTACCCTCCCCACCATCCACAGTATGAACGGTGCTTTCGGAGAAAAGGATGAAGGAGAACGGGGAATTGAGAAATGTTTCGAAAATCACGTGTGCAATGCTGTGTGTGCGCGTTGGTTGCGGCCAGACTCTGATGCAGTGGTCGAGCAACGACCTAGGGCTCCGAGCGCTCCATACGATCCGGAAATGTTGGACGGATTTCCTGGACAGCCTCCACCCTATACACCATCCCCTGAAGTTTTCTCGGACACTAAATTAAATTTCAGCAATGGGCAGATCCCATATAATGTTTGTCTGGAGCAGACGTTTCAAGAGGGCCAATGGCGTTTCCCGCCCATCTGCAATAATAACAGTGAGCAGAAGACAATGTTCGGTCCAGTATACTATGGTCAGAATTATTTCGGACTTGATTCAGTACATAATAATCGTAATGATGAGGTTTTCATGGATTCGTAGCAACTGTTCAGTTTACCTTAAACCATACCAGCATCAGTTTAAAGAAACCTCTGCTTTTGGTGTGCCTGTGTTCTTCCCTGGTTAATCTCAGCATTTTGTCTCATTGATATCTTCCATCACTGGAAGTGGGAAGGAAAACTGTGAGTTTGTCTAACTAAAAACTATGCGTTTATTCCAACCAACTTGTGTTAATATTTTATGATTGTATTGAGTAGAATTTCAGCTTGTTGAAGATGTTGTGCTAACACACCATTTTATAACTTGTGTATAATTATTGCACCATTATACAATATATCTAGTTCTATAATAAATTAGGGAAATATATTTTTGAGAATTTGATATTTTATTTGGCATAAATCATTAATTTTTTAAGTTTAGAATATTTATTGCACTAAAGTTATTAGTCATAATTATGTTTCCCGTTCAAACGATTCTGATCATATGTTTACTTGATTTGAATTTTATATTAAATTTTGCAAGAATTATGAATATTAATTTATTAAGTTTAAAATATTTATTGCACAAAAGTTCTTAGTCATTATTATGTCTCCCGTTCTAACGATTTTGGTCATGCTCTGGGGTTTTTTCGTCTTCAGGAATTGTTTATATGATTATTCTATATCTAAATGTTTATTTTCATATGGATGTCATATTAAATTTTGCAAGAATCGTGAATATTAAGTTTCTCGTTCTGCGTATTGATCATGTTTCTCGATATATTTTTCTGGTTCTAAATATGTTAGTCGTGTTTCTGTCTTTATGGCCGTCTCAAAATTTCAACATTTGCGTCCTAACAATTAAATTGCAGATAGATCTGGAACCACTCACCTGCCCAGATAGGTCTGGAACCACCCACCTGCCCCGATCGATCTGGAATCACCCACCTACCCAGATAAATCTGGAACCACCCACCTGCCCAGAGTAAGAAAATGTGGACGTATTTCCATCCATGGTACAGCATTTAATTTATCATCTTCTATCAGCAAACTCGTTCAACCCACGCCCACCAAGTTCCGTGGTTTAATCGTGTATACGCAAGTATTGAAATTTAGAGATAGTCTCTTAAACATACATTATGCAAGAGCTAAATCTGCCTATTGTAGATCTTTCTTTAGGACTGAAATGTTTTCTAAATTATTAATTAGACATTAATTAACTTATCAAGACCATAATCAACTCTCGATGGCTTCGGATTTCTCCGATATTAAATAGATTAGAATAGTTCAGCCATTTTTTGATGTAAGCTAAAAATGAAGGATCGAGACTTAGCTTCGAACAACCAGTACGTTGGTTGAAATTATTTCACACGTCCTGTTAAACCTTCAAAGGCTAATATCGTCGCTCGCAATAGAGTAAATTGAATGAAATTTTCAAATTATTCATTTTAGATTATCTATTTTCGAACTATTATAGCACGAATGGATAGATCTTTACCTAAATCTTACATTAAATATATCGTCTGCAAAACGAAAGTCGTATTATTAAGATATTTCTGATTTACCCTTAAAACATTATAAATATTTAAAAGAAAAAAAATCTTTATTCTGTTCTTTTAAAATACCAACAAGAAACCAAACCCAAAGTGACTTCTAGTTATTATACACGCTAGTTTATGAAGTTTGTCAATCAGGAGAAGTCCTCAAGATCTTAGACCTGTTTCACGAAATTTTAACTAAGATAAAGCTTATAGATAAATTACAAAAAGTACAGAATACTGCGGCTAGACTTGTTAGTTTTACTAAGAAATGTGACGATATAACTCCTGTTTTATATAATTTACACTGGTTACCTGTTAAATATCGAATTGATTTTAAGATTTTATTACTTACTTTTAAATGTTTAAATAATTTAGCTCCTGTTTACCTCTCAGATCTTGTAGAACTTTATACACCTGGCCGAACATTACGTACATCAGATCAACTACTTTTAAAGCCCAAAACTGTTCAACTAGTCTCTTATGGTCAGCGCTCTTTTAGTTATCAAGCACCTGTTTTATGGAATAATCTACCATTTAGTTTAAGATGTTGTACATCTCTATATTCTTTTAAAAAAACAACTTAAAACACATTTATTTAATCAGGCTTTTAACTGACTCTGTATACAATCGTTAACATGCCCATAATCTTGTTGTTTATGTGTGATTTACATTGTCACTTTGTAAAGTGCCCCTGAACATGTTATATGAAAGGGTGCACTATAAATATGCTGTAATAATAATAATAATAATAAAGTCCAAATTTTAGTAATTTGATTGGATAATATTAGATTGATTTTAGTGCTTAGCCAATCAAAATTGAAGTATCTACTAAAATTTGGATTTTATCTTTAATTAAGATTTCGCAAAACAGGGCCCTGATACATGATCAAATCGGTTTTACAATGAACCTATCAGTTGCTCTCGGTTCTATTCAGTAACTGCTGATAGTTTAAGAGCTATAATTTTCTTTTAATTTTTGGGGTAATTCAAATAGGATTTAATACACACAACGGATTGAAATAGAAAATTGTCTACTCGAATTTCTTTAAGAAACTGATACAAATTACGGGCTGTTTATACCGGATGATAGCAATTAATACAAGTATGAATATAGGAAATACACAGCGGCCTTCACTGGTCATAGTTTCATTATAAAATTGTTAAAACAAAGAAATTAATCAAAGATCCCATATTAATATTGCTTTATATACTAATAAATACATCGGAACACATTAATTTAATGTCGCAGTTCAGTGACCTACGCCATGACACATTTCTTGCCAATATGGAAGCCACCCTCTGATATATACACAATAGCGTCATGCAGCACATTGACTTAAGTAGACGGCCTTAGAGTGCGTATGTAAAACACAGAAAAACAGACCCGTACTAATATAACGCCTTTCCTTTCTGCACCGTCCGGGTATTATTGTGGAGACGTTATCTAAATTACATGTTAGTTTTTCTGTCTAACCTCGTGGGTTTTCTCCGGGTCCTAACCATATGTTAGTCCCGAAATGACCTAGTTTGTGTCGAGTGGACGTTAAACACCATTTCTCTCTCTAGATAAAATAACCCGACAGGAAATAAAATCCTGATTAGATTTTAGGTTCGTTTCTTTTCGTTTTTTTTTAAATATAATTTTTGAGCTCTTCCAGGGTAGAATTAAAACAATAAAACAAATCAAACGAAACGAAACGAAATGAAATTGTAATTGTAAAATAAATCGATCTGGTGTCTATAATTCACATTTCAACAATTAGTATGCCTCCTCCACCCCCTAATAATATTAAAGGAATTTGGTCACTTTTAAAGTGTTATTTGTTACCGGTGAAATGTTATTCCATGCTTAAGATCTATATTTGCTTTTTTTTATTTATTTTTGTTTGTTAAATTATTTCTATTCTTCTTGTGCATTGTTTTGTTTGTTAAATTATATTTTTTATACATATTGTGTATTGCAAATATACAAATAATACAAAAAATACTATTTGTTTCTTTTTTTAAATTTGTACCAATTTTAATCTGATTCAAATACAGATCTATATTTCGTTTCGGTTTTTTACATGAAGATCTGATCGGTTGTGGCGATAGGTCGAGTCAGAGGTCATACGAGCGGCTTTTGACCCTATGACGTCAGACATTTGATTAACCAAACAGCATTGATGTTACCAGTGGATTACCCACAGTTCCGTGAAAAACACGCCTAAAGCTCGCCCAGACCGTTTCATTGGCTAATTCCTCACACGATTCAGAACACATCAATGATAACAACTCTTCCAGATCCTAGTGTAGTAAAGACAAGTAAAACGAAATTTTAAACTATAAAAACAAAACGAAATAGGATCTGTGTTTTAATCAGATTGAATTTGTTCGCACTGTAATGGGCGATTCTACTGGGAACACGACTCGGAAGATTGCCGCATGAGTAGGTTTAAAAACCACGAATCCGTTGCCAGGTTACACCGATGAGTATTTTTGATAAATTCGTTTTTTTGCCGTTAATATAATATGGGGTTGGGTGGCTGAATGGTTAACGCGTGCGCGTTGGGTCATAAGGTCTGTCATGGAGTCAAGTGGCATAATATCGATTCCCCGCTTAAATGTGACAAGGAGTAGGTGGCATTCCAAATCTCGTGGGTTTTCACCGGGTCCTCAGGTTTTCTCCCACTACCAAAAACGCAATCGATTTATTGAAATTTAATAATTGAACGATATTTTTGTGTCGATTGAAGCAATATAATTTCAGCAGCCCTGCATTAACACACCGTATTGTAATCACAATTTAAATCGAAATGTCACCCAGTCACAGCACTGAACAATCACCTACCAACCCTGGCTTGATTTTTTATGTGCAGTACTATGGCGACGTACTATCTAGGAGGCCCCGAGTTCCATCAAACCATTCTGGTTACCCGTATCCGTGTCCTTGCTCGCTAACCTGGAGGTCGCTGGCCGAGAATGTTCGTCGAGATTTTCCGGCATGGTTTTCCGTCAGTGGTGTAGGGCGGAGAGGACACGGAGCGCGCAAAAGATCCCTTGGCAGTTGGAATTCGATATAAGAGTAGGCCTTAGCGCCTCTGTCCCTCAAAGCACATAGAATGTCATACGCCCGTATTCATTTGCCCAGGTGAAACAGAACAGTTGGTCGTTAAACCCCCATTCATTTCATTTCCTATTCATGGTGCAGAACGGAAGGTCGTTCGTATACCAGTAGCGGCACGTTAACAATCCTCTGACATTTATACCCCCCCCCCCCCCCCGCTAAAAGAAAATGTAGATCGTAGTCCTACTGTCCATGCATAACGCCCTAATCTGTACCACTGGTGCAAAAAAGCATGACGCTAAATTTCAGCTAATTTTAATTGTCGTTAAAGGTGTAGCAGACATTTCGGTGTATTCCCACTTAGCCGGCAGACTGTTAATCCTTTGATTGATCTTAAAACTATAGTCTGTTTAAAAGTAGTCACTCAAGAACTGTTCACTAGTGTTCAGCGTTAATGAGCTCTTAATCCCTCTTAAAAAAATTTATTAACCAACTAATTAATGACATTTTGAACACAGTTCATGCCGGCGTTATGATTTCAAACATGAATTCAATTCACTATATTAATATAAATAGATGGTCGATCTGTGTCGAAATGATATTTATTTTAAAATGACAAACGTTTAGGTTAATATTCGCTTTATCTCCAATAATCGAGGTGGCCGATGTTTAATACACAATGGTTACAAGTTCAGTATAAAGTCAAGCAGACCAAATGCCGTTTATTGGAAATGTTCAACTGTGTAAGCTATTTAATGTTATTTAATAAAAGTTAAATTTGTTAAAATCAATACAGTTTTAGTCTTAAAAAAGATATGGACTATAGTTTATAACACCATTGTTCTAGGATTAACTCTGGATTAGCGGCAAAATTTGACATCAAAGCCTGCCGGCTAAGTGAGAACACCCCGACATTTCGTCTATCTATTATCAGCTATGATGAAAGAGAAAGGAAATTGCACCAACAGGTGTAAGGTCAATCTGTTTTTACAAGGTAGTATTCATCCTGTCTGATAATAGAAGTTAATCTTCAAGGTGAATTAGTGGTCTTCATCCTGTCTGATAACAGAACTCATCTGATCTATTTGTCTAGTCCAACCCCTTCCTCAATAAACATGGTTAATATTGACATAGTGGTTTTACGTTTATTATAAAAAGCAATTATTATGATAAATGACGAATTCAGGCGTCTGTTATCTAAATTATCCTAGTTTTTACTATGGTATAAATTTTCATTTCCTTAAATGCTAATCCACTATTCCTCGTATTACATCCTTTTGGGAAAATCACAACACGCTATGGACTTTGGACTGGAACTCAGACGTGGGTAGGGAAGAACCCTTCGGATTGATAGAGTCCGGTTCCCACGGGTCAGGGGTGAGGCCTACAGGGGTGTCAGGGAAAGTTCCAAAGGCCGAGTTCGCGCCGTATACACATTGGTATGCACGTCAAGGAACCTTTGACAGAATTTGTTGAGAATAATCATAAAAGCCGCTGCATGGGCTAAATCCTAGCATTACACACGTAACAACATGTTAGTTTCAAGAGTATCACCCCTTCCATTTCATTTCTGCCAAATGTTTAGTGTGTTTTCAGTTAAAGGGGAAGGTCCATTACTCGCTTACAAAAACTGTGTTGCTTGTGTTACAGATGGGGGTTATTTCTGAATATATATTTAAAATTTATGAAAACCTTGTTGAAAATCGTTTAAGTATCGTTGTAAGACACGGGGCGAGAACCTTCTAGGTGTAGTCGGGGTCAGTTATAGTCTTGTCTGTATCGATACTATAATTGGCATTCATTTATTCCAGCAACTGGGGGGGTTGGATGGCCAAATAGTTAGCACGTCCGCGCTGTATCATAGGGTCTGTCATTGAGTCAACTGGCGTGGTTTCGATACCTCGGTTGTACGTGACAAGGAGTAGGGTCGCCTATGGGTTTCCTCCCACTGCTAAACACCCCTGCGCGCAACCGAATTATTGAAATGAAACTAAACCATATGTTAGTCCGGAAATGACCTCGTTTATGTCGAGTGACGTTAAACCCCATCTCTCTCTCTCTCTCTCTCTCTCTCTCACTCATAATATCAACACCATTGCATTTCATCCAATTTCATCAGTGGGAAAAGTATGATCACTTTACGAATGTTGTATGAAAACAAAAACAAAACAGACAAGTTTAATAAAAGCTCAAATGTTTGTTTATTTCATAATCAATAGTATCGATAATTTGATTGATTAAAATGACAAGAAAAAACATAATTATCATAATCAGACATTTTAATTACAACCAAATTAAAAGAATCGGCGGTCTGTTTTACGAAAAGTTAACTATGATAAAATACAAATTTTAGTAATTTGATTGGATAATATTAAATTGATTTTAGGGCTTAGCCAATCAAAATTGAAGTATCTACTAAAATTTGGATTTTATGTTTAGTTAAGATTTCGAGAAATAGGGCCCAGTAGATCTTCCAAAATTTCGAACATTAATCACGTCAAAGTTTACTACATTTTATCAACAGGATAATTTGCTTTTATTTGATCCAAATAAATTTTTTTCCAATCAAATATAGAAGTTTATTTTAATTAATGTGTTATAAGTTTATAATATGATTTAATATTGTCAAAAGCTGTAAAGCAAACTACAAAAATAAGCGTTGAGATGCTTTCCTATTTCAAATATAGAAAACAGAGATTCTAACTTGTTTGGTAACATGTGAGAGATAGGTGAAGTAAACGAAGGAAAGAGGGAAACCGGAAAGACGGAAAAGATGGAGGAAGGAGTGGAGGAAGTTGGAGAAAAGTAAAGATAGAAACCCAGTTAGAAAAATAGTCGGAGGATAAAATGGTAGAACAGGGGGAACGCGGGAAGGAAAACAGAAAGTGGGAGGGAAATGATTGACAAAAATAGTTGTTTATAGAAAGATGAAGTTTTTGAACAGTTTAACGTTGTTTAAAGAAAGATGAAGTTGTTGAACAGCCAATATTTTTTTTTCTATAATCTAAAAAGACCTGGATTCAAGAAAAATTTTCACATTTGCTTGTATAAGTAGCCTTGATAGTTGATATCTGAAGATAATAAACGCCTCTTCTCCGGACATAATTAAAATGAATTAGTCTCAAAATAACCAATGTATTGGGTTGACAAAGTTTTCAACCCAATTTTATTTCTATTTCATGTGTTCATTGCTTGAGACATATATAATATTACAGATATGTTTGTTTTAAATATGTCTATATACTGTAATATTTATTTTATAACCTACAGCGATATGTATCAATATGTATTGATTGATATGTAGCGATCGATATCGACAGAATGAAGATATCTATACAAATATTTCTAAATAGAGGTTTTACAGTGTTAAATGCAGTATATAAGCAGTGTTGATTATATTGAACACAGAAAACTTAAAATAAATGCTGATATGTGATTAACGAAAACTGATTGACATTCATAGAATATAATTACTAGGTTTAAGCGAAATAACATGGTTCTACGTTTGGCACTTTCGGTGCCAATAAGGCAATCCAATTGACACTAGTTGGTATTTACGTTCCGTTTCATTTGATTGTTATATCATCAACAATCTAAAATTCCAAATTAAACGGAACGAATTTTCCATTAAATAATATATAATGGATATATAATATGCTTATTATTGCAATATGAAATAACAGATACGCGATATAGCATTAGGAGAAAAATACATGGTATGGACAAATAATTATTGCAAGGAATTTTACAAAAATAATTAATGTAGGGAATTTTACAAAAAATAATTAATGCAAGGAATTTTACAAAAATAATTAAAAGAGGATAAAAAAAATACATATTTTATATCACAAATACATATTATAATTAAGGTTTAAAAAAGAAAGATAATTTGCAAGATTCACTAAATATTTGAAAATAAAAAAAAACAATTGACAGATTTACATAAAATCAAACATCACTAAAATTAAATCAATACAAATTAATCTTAGCTGATTCCGAGTAAAACAATTTTGATTTCATTTCTAACTTTTCTATTTCTTTGATTCAAATCAAAAGGTGAACCTCGCAACACAAAAATATCTGTGACATTTGCTGTAATTCAGATCCAATAATAAAATTATGTATAACTCCGCGGCAATGTTCCCTCTTATTTTTAGTGTTTTAATCAAAGTGCGCCAAAGTTAAATAGTATGCAAACTGTGACAATAGTAGTTGCACAAATGTAAATTTGAAAATGATGACAAATGATATGTCTAAAAAAAAAATCTCATCCCTTTTTGATACAGCTGAGATGTCTAAGAACAGAAACAGTTTTATATTTGTATAAAGGGAGGAGTACTCGTCAGTCTCATCGTCTCCCAGGGTGTCTTCGGACGAGAAATAAACATACACTGATTTTGAAATCCCTGATATCGACCCATAACTGTTTATGGTTGAATATTACTAACAATACAAAAGCCACAGATATGTGAAAAGTTGACAATTTACTAGCGACTAGTTCAAAACACACATTTTTATATAAAGCAAATCACATGATTTATATATTCATCTAGATTTTACTTTTTAATTAATATCCAAATTATCCTACAGCGATTGGTTTGGCTAAACGGTTAGACAATTGTACCAGATGACGCGATCAGAGGCGATTGGTTTGGCTAAACGGTTAGACAATTGTGCCAGATGACGCGATCAGAGGCGATTGGTTTGGCTAAACGGTTAGACAATTGTACCAGATGACGCGATCAGAGGCGATTGGTTTGGCTAAACGGTTACAATCAATTTTACCAGTGAGGCGACTGGAAGAGGATATAATATCAAAGACACTGTCAATTATAAAACTAAAACTGAAGAAAATATTTTTAAGGTTTTAGGCTTTGAAAACGTTGATTAAAACTAAGTTATATATCAATAGATTGGACCAAAATGTGCGTTAATATTCCCAGACCTTATCTAAAAGGGTCTTCATGATAGTAACCAAGGGCTGTGGATCCAGCTCCCAACAAATCACTATAGTTCTATTCGAAGGCTAACTTCAAGTTTGGTCACGGGATTTAAACAGGACTAGCGCTAATCCCAACCCTAACCCTAGCCCTTGACCTAGCCCCAATGCTTACCCTAATCATAGTCTACAATCTCGCAAACAAACCTTGACGACCTTGACGAAAATTCAGTTGGCCTTAACAAATAGATCTAGCCGCAGTGTAGTCAGGGATCTAAAACCATTAAGTTTAATTTACACTAGCTGTGGGAAGTGAAATGGGATTGAATGCTCCGACTGCGACCAAACTGGGGTTAATTGACGACAGTAACCGAAGACGATATTGGAGGAAAGTTTTAATGATTCAGAGCAATGGTTACCAGGATACTATCTCAAGTTGAAATACAATATAGTCATGCTTTAGGCGTATATCAACTAAATACACAGATTAAACATGTATTTTAATATCTAAATAATTAATAAGGAAGAATTTATAAACCAGGATATTTTCCTGTTACTGCATGACTCATATCAGTCGAGGTCGTAGGATATTTGGTAAGGGTGGGGGGAAGGGTTCTACCAAAACGTTTGAAAATCGGGGTATCAGTGGTTACTGTAGTTATATCTGGACCCTATTCATCAGCTACATCACACCAACCCCAAAAAGAGATTCTTGATGCTGTCAACCCCGCCTGAATCCGACACTGTGTTTACTATAGCACGTCTATCTGGCCAGTATTTGAAAATATGTTGATACAGTATGAATATCTTAGTTGTAAATATTTCACCTTTTAACATTTAGTCTAGAAATGACCCCGACCTAGATGCACATATAACAGTTGTTATTGTCTAACATGATAGAATGATATTATTGTTGTCATGGTAACTTGAAGGAGAGGAAATAGGGCAACAATTAGACCATTTTCCTGCATCCTGATAGCACGATATTAACTGGTGTAATTTGAATCATCTATGAGCTATACAACTGGAAAAACCATGATATGGCGTTACTACACTATAATCAAGAGGACACTTTCCTCAGTTAATTAGATTTTTGTGAAATTGTTTTTTTATAGACTGACGTTAGCCAAAACCTTTAAACGATTATCTTCAATCTATCCAGTTCCATGCAAACATTTTCTTTATGACATTATCTCAATATTCAAGTCGAATTTAGTGTTCAAATAGTTTAAGAACGCTCGAATTTCTCCTCAAACAAAATATATGTGAAGACAAATTTGGGGGTTCACGCAAATGGTGAATTAACTTTCTTAAAGATACATTATGGGAGATAAGATGAAGAGCTGACAGTTCTCATTATAATAGTTAACTTTCTTCAAGGACAAGTAATAGCGAATCTATAAAACTGTACGTTGGGAATGTGTCACTTAGGATGAATCATGGGCATTATGCTTGAAAAGGGGAGATAACTCCGAAAGACCTCGCCAACAGTTTAAATCTATTGACTTCTTGGATAATACACAGCATTACACGCTATAGGATAATACTTTACGAAATACAAATATCGTAATGAAATACAAATATCGTAATGAAATACAAATATCGTAATGAAATACAAATTTCAAACATAATGAAAAAGGTTGTATGAATGTCATGAAAATGAAAAAAAGAAAAGATGGAATTTTTTTGAAATAACGGAAATTGAATAATACATGTAACGCAACAGAAAATGGATTCCAATGACATGAAAATAGAAATTAATATGTAACAGATTAAAAATGATTAAAATAATAATTATAATAATAAAACTTAATAAAGAATCAACAAAAAAAAACAAATTTAATATTATAATAATAATAATAAAATGATCCGTTAATGAACGTAACATGTACGTGTGCGCGCGTGCAAGCATACATAACATACCAAATAACGAACACTTTTTTGGAATACTTTAAAATTTGGATCTGAGCATAAAGCACGGCACGAAACCCACTGAATTGAAGCAAAGTTTGAAACCCGTTGAATTCAAGCAAAGTTTGTAACCCGCCGAATTCAAGCAAGGTTTGAAACCCGCTGAATTCAAGCAAAGTTTGTAACCCGCTGAATTCAAACAAAGTTTGTAACCCGCTGAATTCAAGCAAGGTTTGAAACCAGCTGAATTCAAGCAAAGTTTGTAACCCGCTGAATTCAAGCAAGGTTAGAAACCCACTGAATTCAAGCAAAGTTTGTTTGAAACTCGCTGATTTCAAGCAAGGTTTGAAACCCACTGAATTGAAGCAAAGTTTGAAACTCGCTGATTTCAAGAAAAGTTTGAAAACCGCTGAATTCAAGAAAGATTAGAAACCCGCTGAATTCAATCAAGGTCTGAAACCCATCGAATTCAAACACGGAATACGTCGTTTATTTATATACAATTATCACCATGGTGATTGTATTCAAATTGAGACAGAAGATAATTTGTTGTAATGGACTGATAAAATGTCGGTGACGGAATTTGTCTTTGTTCATGTTGTAAGTCATCAAATGTAAACATGTCCGGTTCATATGGTGCTGACGGTTCTAAAGGTAAATTAGGATAAATGCTGGACGGAAATCGATTATTGACATTAAACGGTTTGATCAGATCTTGGCACATGTTGTTGCATCTGTGATTCCGGAAGACGGTGTTAATCCCTGCTTCGCCGTAGTCGCATTCGCCATATTGTCGGTTGATGGAATGAACTGTCGGGGTCTTTAACCGACACGCATGCATGTTCCGGTCACCTTCTAATCCACACACAACAAGCTGACCACTCGTCACGTGATATGTCCAGTGCATAAAGGCAGCCAGTGCCTGGGGGCAGTCTCTGGAAGTGACGCCATGTTTGTCTATAAAGGTTACGAAATGCTTACCGACATTTTCCTCCATTAAAACCCACTCGCTTTTTGTGATTTTTCGATTGGAATTCAGCAGACTGTACGAAACGGACACGTCATCGATTAAGGCGTTAAGAATGGACGAAAATTCGATATGCTGAAACGGATAGCAAGCGTTGAAGCCGTCCGCCAGTTCCCGCGCTTTTTGATTATTGCATAGTTCGGTTTTACACATGGATTCTGTTCCTGGCATATTTTTAAAAGCCTTAATAACAACAATTTCACCTCTTCTCGGACCCTTTCCGTTTAGAATTCCACCAAATACCTTCTTCCGGTCGCCCTTAGAGAACGATTTTGGATCGAAGCTGGTCCAGTATCGGCAGCCATCTTGATCTGGGCTGGATGACAGAGTTGTATTAGAAAGGGAAAACATGCCGCCTGGATCGACACAGACTACTCTTCTAAATTTGGTTCATTAGACAGATACCTGAAAATATAAATATATATAACCATGAACTAAAAATTGAAAATAAAAAAATAATTGATTCCAACTTTACATTATCATCAAATCCACAGAAACATGCCACAAGGTTCGCTCTTTGCTTCAATTTCGTTTATTTCCTGTTTTAATAAACTTGAGTATATGAGAGAAAGAGAGAGAGAGAGGAGCAGAAGAGAGAGGGAGAGAGAGAGAGAGGAGCAGAAGAGAGAGGGGGATTAACGTCCACTCGACACAAACTAGGTTATTTCGAGACTAACATATTGTTCAATTTTATTTTATTAATTCGCTTGCGCTTACGGGTCTTCAGCAGTGGGACCCTACTTCTTGTCACGTACAACTCGGAAATCGAAACCATGCCAGTTGACTCAATGACCGACCTTATGATACAACGCGCACACACTAACTATTCAACCATACAACCCCCCTAGTGAATATTGATCACATATGGAATATTTGAATCAACTGATATGAAAACAGTTTCAATCGTTAATGATGCATTTTCAGATTTCTAAATCTAATTCTAGATGTTTTAATTTACATCGAATAACGAACAATTAAAACAGTCAGTTGGAATAGTCTTAAAAGGGTCTTCCAAGTCGAAGATTTTTGTTTGAATCTGACTATAAAAGGAATCCCTGTTCGGTCCAATATTGTGTATGATTAGTAGCAATCATACACTAAACCAGACCTAAAGGTTTATTTCTTAGCCTATAAAATATTAACCAGATTACCTGATATTAACCAGGTTACCTGATAGAATATTAACCAGATTACCTGATAAAATATTAACCAGATTACCTGATATTAACCAGATTACCTGATAAAAATCTTTGAAAAAGACAAGAATTTAATTTCTAGATCTAAAATATTGACAACCATGGAACATTAACCAAAATCACCACACTTGACAACTGGATTAACGATCTAATTTTCATGAAAATCAGGGAGTTGTCGATACAAAACAAAATTCAACTGATGAACAATTACCCTATGAAATATTCTCTAGAAATATTTTTGATTCACAAACAAGTTAACAAACTACCCTACCTTATTTTTGAACGGCAAAACAAACGTTCAAAATAAATCAATTAAAGGATGTGTCCCAAAATAAATCCCCGACCAATTTATCGATTTTTATTTTGTTTCTGTTGTCTCGCGTATGTTCCTTCCTAGTTTATTCCTTAAAACCACCAACAGGTGCGCGTTACTGCAACTATATATATCCACTCTCAATTCTATGAATGACAAGAAATAACAACACAAATACTAGTCCCTTTTATTTTTTGCAAGCCTCAAGTCGAATAATACTACTCGACACAGTAACTATATAGTTGTACAACTATTTGTTTGAGAATGATTGACGTATATAATAAGTCAATTCTTTTCAAGTACTATTAATATAATTATTTGTCACACTGTCGTTGTTAGCAATTCGTTACCTTGGAAATTAATTTATGAAAAGGAAATGGGGTACAATGATTGTTTACGATATAAAATATTTAACGAAGTTATAAATTCATAACAAAAAAGTTATATGCCAGTCAGTTTAACTGTCATTATAAACCAACCTTGAATCAACTTATTGCTACAGCTGATTACTGGTTTAGTAATTCTGGGAGTTTATGCTTCATTATATGAAATGAAATGGGGTTTAACGTCCTGCTGTTCTGACTGGGCTAATGAAGACGAGCATACGCGATACAGTGCTATGAGAGAAATTTTGCCCCGGCAGCAGCGCTACAGCCTACTCTTATATCAAATTCCAACTGGCAAGGGAACTTTTACGTGCGAGCCAATGTGTACATGGAACCTCGGTTTTTCGTGCCATCCGAACGACTAGACAGCTGTCCTTGTCAGGCCCTCCGTCCTCCATCAGTTACATGGAGAAACCACGCTGGAAAATCCAGATTACTTTCTCGGCCAACGCCGGGATCGAACCCGCGAACTCAAGACTAGCGAGCCAGCGTCTTACTCACTTAGCCGACGTGAATCCCACTTCTTTGCATATGGTGGCCGAGTGATATAACGCTTTAGCTTTAAGGTCCGTCATAGAGACAAGTGGCGTGGTTTCAATCCCAGGCTTGTACGTGACAAGGAGTTGAGATGTATGCCTAATCAAATGGATAACAACTCATTGAAATAAAAATAAAAATGTATCATATGTTAGTCCCGAAATGACCTAGTGTGTGTTGAGTGGACGTTAAACCCCATTCTGCTCACCCGCTCGACCCAACCTGTCATTAGATTTACCCAAATAAATTGAAGTAAATTAATCGTATTATAAATAGTCTTGTGAACCGTTAGATTCCCTACCTTAATCCTTCTTCAATAACTTATTTTTAAAGCTTTTCCAAAGTTCAAATCTTTCAAAATATACCTCGTCCATGTAAATGACACCCGTTAACTATCTCTACCTTTCTTAACTTCAGGTTTATTATTTTGACTTCCGACTCAAGTTTACCGCCCTATTTATATGACCCATAAACGTCGAATTAAAATGGGATTTATTTAGTAACAAACGAATGATATACGTAAATTTTCCGTGAATCTGTGAAAATGTAAACCCATCAGACCTAGATTCATTCAACGTAAACATACGTCACTCCGAGGTTGAAGTGTAAATAAATGATGTACATCGAATGAGTCATTCGGTGTGATTCGGTGATTAAAGACCTCCATTTCCATAAGCTCTAATTTTATCCCCGATATTTCCACTTATGTCATCGTTGTACATGTGTATAAAATTTCAAATTTTCAAATTCATGTGATAGGAAACTTTGTAATGGTTACTGTTACTGGCGTTTGCGATTGAGTCATCATTATTGAGAAAGTGGAATTCCCAACTCTGTAAAATTTCTGTATCCTCTTCAGGCGATATAAACAGAGAGAGGAGGAGAAATGGGATTTAACGTCCACTCGACACTAGGTCATTTCGGGACTAACACATGTTTAATTTTTATTTCAATAATTCGCTTGCGTGAAGGGGTCTTTAACAGTGGGAAGAAACCGGATGACCCGGAGAAAACCCACGGGGTTGGACAGGCGACCCTACTTCTTGCCACATACAACCGGGGATTCGAAACCACGCCAGTTGACTCAATGACAGACGTTATGATACCGCACGCACGTGCTAACCATTCGGCCATCCAACCCCCCAAACTTCTCTAAAGTTTTATGATATTTTGATATTCCTAAAGATGCATTATATAAAATCTAAATCTGCCGATTGCACGTCTTTGTTTTTGCTTCAAATGTTACATAAATTATTATTTAGACACTTATGCACAAGACAAGCCTATAATCAGATCTCTATATGATCGGATGGTCGAGATTTAAATAGATTAAAACACGGTTCGCCATCAAATGATTTAATTTTAAAATGGAGAACCGGGGCTAAGTCTCGAATAACAAGTACCGTTGTTACGATAATAAACAATCAATGCACACTTCTTATCAAAACTCCAAACTGTGATAACTTCGCTCAGAATAAAGTAATTTGAATGAAATTTTCAACATATTCTTTCTGTATTATCTATTTGTGAACTATTATAGCAAGGACGACCAGCTGTTTATCTAAATCTTACATAATGCATCTTTAATTATATATAAATAATCAATTTGACTATTTACAAGTGGACATTTTGAAATTTTCCGAAAAATGCAAATAACAAACTTAGACTTTAATACTTCAAATCAAGACAGTCATTTTCTTTAAACTAAACATACATTATGACGTCACATTAATAATGATGTCATTGTAATAATCATATTTAAACATACATTATGCAAGAGCTAAATCTGTCTATTGCAGGTCTTTCTTTAGGCCTGAAATGTTATCTAAATTATTAATTACACATTTATTAACAAAACAAGACCATAATCGACTCTCAATGGCATCGGATACTTGAGATTTTAACTAGATTAGAACGGTTCGCCATTTAAAAATTTAATTTAAAAATGGGAAAGCGATGCTAAATCTCAAATATACCAGTGCCCTGGTTACCACAATACACACATCTTGTCAAAACTATAGTAGTGATAACTTGGCTCAGATTGAAGTAAATTGAAGGAAATTTTCAACATCTTCATTTTACATTATCTATTTTTGAGCGATAGCTAGAATGGTTAGCTCTTTATCTAAATTTTACATAATGTATCTTTAATATTTCTCATATATTTCTGTTTTATATGATAAATGGATTACTCATCGATAATTCATAGTGATATTATTATTATAATTAATTTCCAAGAAATGTACATCAGTCTTCTTCAGATTATATACTTACACTACCTATATACAGTGGTTAATCACACCTGGATACGTCATTCAAACAGGTAATTTTCCACTACAAGTGTTCACCTTTTATTTTAAAATAGTAAATATGCCAATTTATTTCAAAATCTAATCACCAAGGACGCCAAGCACAAAATATCTTATTTGGTTTATTAATATGATAGTGTATTATAGAGATAACAATATCTATATAGTCAACAGGTATATACTGGTTGGAACGTGCGTCAATTCTCATAACAATGACGAAATCATCCGGGGTATTCACTCATGCGTAATAACAAAACATATGATATATACAAAGTCCAGTGTCAACTGGATGTCAAACGCTTAAGTCATGATTGATTGCGGCTACCGGGACAGGTTTGTCTTGGGAAAACCGATGTCGTCCGAATGGAAAGTTACCGATGACACTATAATATATTTTATAATAGAATGTGCAGTGCCCTAAACTCCACCTGTTTTGGGCGCCCACCTGTAACACGTTCTATAGTTTAACAGATTTTCAACTCAAACTATGATTATCAGTTTGGTATATGCCAGTGATTAAATTGTAAAGGAAATCATACAGCCATAAAACTTGTTTGCCAACTCAGGTGTACTCATTTGCATTTAAAACCCCTTTTTCAGATCCCTATCAAGTCAAAACTGGTCCCTTATTGATAAAATCAAATTTCAAACAAAAGAAAACAAAAAAGATAAAAATGTAAAAAGTGAGAAAACCGTGGATATAAATTCTGTAACGCGTAGAAACATGAGCCGGGTATTTAGCTTAATAAAAGGAGTAAGCGAATGATGACGAACTCCTCGTATTACATAAAAAAAATCCCAATTCAAAATAAATATGATGTGAACACAAAACACTTTATATTGACTAAATACTTGAAAGTTAGGAGAGAAAGAGAGAGGGGGGGGGGGTAATTTCCACTTGACACAAACTATGTCTTTTCGGAACTAAAATATGGTTCAAACTTATTGCGTTAATTCGCTTGCCCGTGGGAATCTTTAGATGTGGTAGAAAACCAGTAGACCCGGAGAAAACACACGAGGTTGGACAAGTGACTCTACTCCTTGTCACGTACAGTCGGGGAAATCGAAACCATGCCAGTTGACTCAATGACAGATCCTGTGATATAACACGCAGGGGGACGGGAGAGAAAGACTAAAACTAACTTTGGTCCTTACGGCGGAGGAATAGTTGGTGAGCAGTGTCCATTTACAGAACTACTAAGTTGACAATTGGGGTCTGTTTCACGAAATTTTAACTAAGATAAAAATCCAAATTTTAGTAATTCGATTGGATAATATTAGATTGATTTTAGTGCTTAGCCAATCAAAATTGAAGTATCTACTCAAATTGGATTTTATGTTTAGTTAAGATTTCGAGAAACAGGGCCCAGGATAGAAATGTCTTTAACATTTGTTTGACAACACTGCTGGCCAGCTACAGTCGCCATAGTATAAAATAAACGCCAAATTTAGGGCGGATACAGGAACTATTTTTGCAGGTGGGGGTTTGCCAGGTTCCTGACACAATGTAACTTTTAGCTCTTTTCTTTTTTTTTTCTTTTTTTTTGTTCGGGGGGGGGGGGGGGGCGTCATAGTAGAACACATTGAGGTTTTGTCAAATTTGTGGCGTCTTAACAGCAGAATATGGCCGCTGTACCTTACTATCCTACCATCTGATAATAAAGGATCAAGAACACGACGGTGACACTTTTCTCATAAAAAGTGTCGTTTTACAAATTGTTTATGTAGCTGAGCTGGGTGCCGCAGGGGAGGGGACTGGATCCGCCCCTCACACTCGCTGTGTTTGGATTTATTGTTACGATTGGTCGCCATGAAACAGCAGCGTCTTACTCACTGAGTCTCCGGGGCTCTGAAGCTAGATTAAGATCGTTTGAGTTAAATGTGCTCTGTATATAATACAGATATATTATTTTAATATTGCACATAAAATATTTCAATGATTTACCACTAAGCAATCAAAAATAACACAAAACTTTCTAAACCTAAAGCGCAATGAAAGGTTTTGAAAAGAGGCCTTTATGTGCCTTTTATGAAAATATGTATATATCTCAACTAAGCTGATATTTGATGTTTGCACTATATGTAGAAAATGAATAAATATCTTCTCAAGAGAAAAACAAACATGATCTTAAGTTGGTTTTACACTATGCGTTTTCGTGATGTTTCTGGCTTTCTGCGCGCGTTTTCTCCGGTTACATGGAAACGGTCCCATTAATAGATCTACATTAGATCAACTTTTTCGCCGGTGAAAACGCATGCGAGAACGCCGAGAAAACGGGCCTTACAGAACATGAGATTATCGAGTAGAATGCCAACTTGGTTATAAAGTAGTCAAAATGAAATATTTATGTGGGAATCAAATCAAAAATTCTTGACAGGCACTTAACAAAAAAAACCCCAAAACACACTGATTTTACAATGCCACCAGTGATGACACACAACCAACGGACGGAAATAATATATATATTTTTTTTCCTGCACCTACCAGGTTAATTGGTGCTTTGAATGCGCTACCACCTACGCTTAATTTCGATCTGTAATTGTCAGAAGATCTTCATAAAGACGAGAGTATAATCCTCGTCGAAACGTCGCTTAGTATTAAACTCAGTAATTGTGTAAAATTGTACCTTGTGTTAATATGTTCAATTACTAAATGCCAATCAAAGAATATCTTGAACGTATTCCCAATTGGGATAAAGTAACATAGGGTTTTTCGTTCAGTCCTAGGGGCTATTAAGGTTAACACCGGGAGTGAAGCCGGGATAGCCGGGTTAGTGAACAAACGTCATACTCGCATGGACAGCCATTGTATCGAGACTAAATACGGTTTAGCGTCGGTTTATTTGTAAATGAAATAAAATGAAATGAAATGGGGTTTAACGTCCTACTGTTCTGCTCCGACTGGGCTAATGAAGGCGGGCATACGCCATACAGTGTGCTATGAGGGAAATTTTACCCGGACAGCTGCACTACGGCCTACTCTTATATCGAATTCCAACTGCCAAGGGATCTTTTATGTGCACGCCAATGTGTACGCGGGACCTCGGTTTTTCGTCTCATCCGAACAACTAGACAGCTGTCCTTGTCAGGCCCTCCATCCTGCATTACTGACAGGGGGGGAACCACGTCGGAAAATCTAGATGAACTTTCCGGTTTATTTGTAGCTATAAAACAAAATGACATTTAACTTCCTACTTTTCTGCACCAACCGGGCTATTGATCCT